CACCACTATATCAACATTTCAGTATTTCTTCAAGCACCTTTAATTCAGCTCTTTCAGCATTGCTGTATCTGGCATGTCTTGTGTTCGAATCTTCAGGGAAACAGTTGATCTCTTCCTACTTCTTTGTAAATATTGTGTTACCAGTGGTAGATGGCAACCCAGAGATTTATTCTTATTCACCTTCCTTCCTTATTTCACCTTATTTCTTCAGAAAATTTTTAAGACTTGGACATAAGTGACTGATAGCAATGCATATGTACATAGCATTTATGTATGTTAGAGATGCACCTCAATATCCTTTACAAATAAATATCATAAAGTAACAAAGTATGAGATTAATACCCAAGAATAGCTGAGATCAGCGCCAGGACGATTACTCCATAACTTAGAGGCCAGCGGGTATCCTAGAGGAAAGGGCAGTTCAGATAGAGAAGGGAGCACCAAATAAAGGATGTTTGGAGGATCCTCCCAGGAGGGGAGATGCATGTCGAAAGTAGACTATGGACTGAACATGTTTGCCACTCAATGCCTCTTTTGCAGACCACAACACCCAAAAGGAGAGAGAGAACACAGGGGATTGCCCTGCCACAGAGGCAGGGGGGGATGGGGGGATAGGGGTGAGGGGGATATTATCCATGGTGGTGGGAAAAGGGCACTGGTGGAGGGATGGGTATCTGATCATTGTATAATTGAAACCAAAGCACAAAAAATTGCAAATCTACAACTGTAAAAAAAAATAAAATAAAATAAAGGGAAAAAAAACAAATAAATATCAGATCTTTCTCTTCGCCACTAGTGTAGAAAAGTGTAGACAGAGTATCTGCTGGAGCAATTTGTATTTTAATGCATGTTTATTGTATATATCTACATTCATTCCATATATCACTAAGGCAAGGATCACAGATATGTATACTTATGGTAACCTCTCTGTTGGTCACTAGAGAGTTGTGTGGATTGGCACCAACTGGAGAATTCATGCCCCATCCAAAAGGAGAAGATTGAACCATTTGGCACCACATACCAATGTTCAGGGTTGTCAGTGTATGCTATTTTTCAGGAGATGATATATCTTTATGTGTGCATGTAAACTTTCCTAATTTTAATTCAGTATCAGATGAAGCTTGTCTTTAAGGGGAGTCTGACCTATTCTGAGTAATTTGGAACTGCTCCTACATTAGATGGTTATTCACAACTATTTTATTGTGATTTTCCTGAGGGCCCCAAGAAGGAAGAAGGGAAGTCACATTATAAAGCAGAAATGAAGTAATAGGAAGATACAAGGGGAAGACTTAAAGATGGGTGATTATTCCAGAGATTCCATAAAGGTCAAGGAAATAATACTAAGAAACTCATTAAATCCATACAAATTATTTGGTACAACACTACATTCACAGGTTGTTTTCCTTTAAAAGAAAAGAAAAAAGGAGTTAGCAATGAAGAGAAAGTGGGAAGGAAGGAAGGAAGGAAGGAAGGAAGGAAGGAAGGAAGGAAGGAAAGAAGGAAGGAGCGATGGATCTATGGTCAGTTGTGTGAAAAAATACTCAGATAATGAAACAAAATGAAAGAGTTACTCACTCCGGTCTTTTAATTGTCTTTAATATTCTAATGTGCAAGGATATCTTTCAAAGGAAAAAATAAGTGCTGCATTTTTCAAACTTTTGTGATCAAGGAGACCTTATTTTATAGGCTCCCTTTAGATTTATTGATTTGTGTAAAATGCTTGGGAAAACTGAATTTAAGAGTAATGAGACATTGGGGATCTCAAGGCATGATATGAAAATCAGAATGCAAAAGGCAATGACTGAAGGTGTGATCACTTGCATTGCTTAGCAGGTAAAGAAAATAGGTCAACCATTAGCAGCTATGAGCTTGCCAGCATATTAATATTTTAAAATAAATGCAGTTTTATCCTTTTCTATTCTGGCAACAATAAACCAACACCACCAACACCACCCAACAAAACAGACCTGGGTTCCTCACCTCTGATAAATTAAATCTCTTCGTAGTGTTCAGTGCTCTCCTTATCAGGTCAGCTAACCTTTATGACTTCTTAGCTATGCCCACACCCACTGTATGCTCTAAGCCACCCTGTCCTACTCACTGTCCTCTATACACATTTACTATTTTGTACCCTCTTCATCTTTTAAGACCATGTGATCTGGCTTACCCCAGCTACTCCAGTTAGAACCAGGCACTCTTTCCAAGGCACAGCTCAAATACACATCCACCCTGAATTTGCCTTTTAGCTATTAAATCTCATCAGAATTTATGTTTTCTGAACTTCTAGGACCTTTACTTCTTAAGGTTGGGACTTCTTGCTTGAGACTTCTTGGTTTATACATTGCCCAAGTGATTTGGAGATTAGAGAAAAGAAAGTGTGTCTGAGCTCTGCAGCTCTCTACCCCCTATTTACCCTCACATACACCCAAATAAGGTTAGGATGATATCTATCAGCACATAATGAAAAGGGTATAACCCCATCATGCCAAATTAAATAGACTCTGGGTTGTTATATGCAACCACATGTTGTTCCTTGAAGATAAAGGAGTTTTTCTTTCTCTTCTACTCTATTTGTAATTGGCACCATTTATTTCTTTTCTTTTTAAAAACTTTTGGTTTGGACAGACAAATAAACAAAAACAATATGAAACTAATACCCAAGGCCAGGGAAAATGTGCCAGGAGGACTGGTCAATGGTGGTTAGTGGTGTGAGAGATGGAGGGTAGTTAAGATAGAAGAGGGTCCATCATGACAATACTAGTTGGAAATGATCACTCTGGACAAGATCTGAGTTTTGAAAACAGGTCAGGGGATCTAGATGATAACCTTTCAGCGTCTGTAATGCAAACCATGATCATAATGCCTAAAATGAGAGAGAGAAAGAGAGAGAGAGAGAGAGAGAGAGAGAGAGAGAGAGAGAGAGGAGAGGTTCTTGCCATAGAGGCAGGCTGGGGTGGGGTAGGAGGTGGTTTGAAGAGGTGAGAGAGAAACTGGGGACACTGATGCTGGGAAATTACACTGGTGGAGGGATGGGTGTTGGAACATTGTATGACTGAGACACAATCATGAACAATTTTGTAATGCTTTATCTCATGGTGATTCAATAAATTAAAAAAAATGGGGGCCCAAACCTAGCTATGCTCAAAGCTGACTCCTGACTCTGCACTCAGGGATTACTCCTGGCAGTGAGCAGGATACTATGTGTAGTGCTGAGAATTAAAACTGGTTGGCTGCATGTAAGGCAAGCTCCCTACCTGCTGTACTCTCTCTCTGGCCCAGTGGACAACATTTTTAGACACTAGACTGAACACTTCATGTGCATTGTCTATGTAAGTTCTTCAGTATTCCTAAGAGGATACACTATCCCCAGGTTTTATGGAAGTAGAAGCTGTGTCTAATGCTGAAGTCAGCTTGCTCATGTCCATGAGCCACTTCCTAACTGCTCAAGGAAAAGCCAGGGACACACCTCACAGCGACTGGGCTCTGTCTTTTCCAGTACAGTGCTATAGCCACATTAGCCATCAGACATTTTAGTAACTGAGAATTACAGTTTAAAATTCACACTCTGCCTTAAAGTAACAAGTATATATAAGAAAACAGAGAAGATAGAGCAGAAATCTAGTTAGAATCAGAATAGTTTGAGTCTTTGGGGCATTCTAGGCTCTTCTAAAGACCTTGAACAGCTTGACAGGGGCCTTTTTGAGTGCCCCCGAGTCCTGGTTCTGGGTGTATATGGCATCATGGAAGTGTATGCATGACCTTGAGGACAGGTGCTCAACTGCCAGTCATTTCTTTGTTCATTCATCACAAGGGATGACCTCCATTTCAACTTCAGTGTGAACTCTTTGCTTATCTATCAACTTACTATATTTAAAAAAAAGCCTTATTTGAGAAACTGCCTTATTTGCCCAGACCTGACACATGACTGATCTAGAAACACATTATAATGATTTGTTGATTGATAAATAACAAGTCAACCAAGATAATTGTTTAACATAGAGACAGCATACATAGAAAACTTTTTTACTGTCAGAAAACTAGACTAGCACCTGGTAATATATCCTTTTATTTTATTTATAGGCTGCCCTGATCTCTGTGTCCTCAGAATACTTGGCAAACCAAAAATCTTCCTGCAGTAATGTCAAACCTCATAATTTTCTGACCCCATCTTCTAAATTACATTGTGAAATCCTGTAGCATGAGAAGCATGTGTTAACCTTGCAAATGCATTGTGTTTTTCAAAGCAGTGTTTTGTGCATAGTAATGTCTATAGAAATCCATGTTGAATAATTGCATCAGAATGGATTGGAGTTACAGCTGGGAACCTGTCCTAAAGAATCCAGTTTTCTTGTGATAAGTTTTGTGAGTTTAGAGAATAAAGCAAGAAGAAATAGGTTTATTGACCAAGACAGAGCAAGATGACTGGTTAATAATAACCTCACTTGATAGTGGTAGTGAGAGAGGAAGAAGGGGTTCTGGGGGGGAGGGGACTGGATTCAAACTGATGGGTAGGATTATGCCCAAGAGAGACATACTTTCTTCTTCTCCCTGATCTACTTATCCTCACATTTGTCTAAGTATGGAGAAAATATTTATCATGATTATCAAACTGGAATGCAATATACTTCACATAGTCACTCAGGATAGTTCAGAACGACTAATAGGAAAGGTTTGTCCTTGTCCCTCCACAGAAGAGCTTCGCTCTGCTGAGGAGGAGGAGAAATTTGAGCTGAATGTATTTTTGGTTGGTACAACTTGTAAGTGCTCTGTTTGATAGCAGGGTTGTTTGAATGGTCCATTTCATAACTATACATAGCTTTTCCAAATAAATGAAGTCTGTAGAATGTTCAGGTTAATGCATGAGTCCTGTGCTCAAGAGTGTTTGTGCTTAGACGACTGAGCCTTCTTTCTTAATAAGTCATCTTGGCATTTTGTCAACAAGTTAATTTGCTTTTCTAAGAAACTAGATTAATACTTCCTGTACTTTGTGCTATTCACAGATCTACAATGCAGTGAGAAGAGGAGAAAAAACAGAAGATACAATAGGATCTCTTCTCCATTTCTTCACAAAGCTTCCAGTCTCTGTGACAGCTTGTGAAAGGATTAGTGTTGGTCCGTGCTTAAAGCAATGTGTCCGGGACACTGTGTGTGAGTATCGTGCTACTCTCCAAAGGACTTCCATCTCTCAGTACATCACCGGCTCTCTCCTAGAAGCGACCACATCTTTAGGAGCAAGAAGTGGCCTTCTCAGTACTTTGGGAGGTTCCACCAGTCGAAAGATGCTAAAAGGTAATGTCTGAAATTTCACTTCTTTTTATCTTTCCATGCAGGAAAAGTAAGTTAATATTGATGCATACCAGTATGGAAAATTGAATTTTCCTATCAGCAACTTGAAATAGGAAAGGCAACTATAAAAGGGTAAAAGAGAATATTAAAAGGTAATCCTTTATGAAAATCCTTTTATGTAGTGATAGTCCAAGAAAGAAGCATTAGAACTTGAAATTTTCTTTTGAAAAGAAGTAAATGGTTAAGAGCTATCTTAATTGAGAAAAATTTAGAGAGTTTCTCTTACTGGTGGTTCATGACAAAGGACAATTACTATTATAAGAACCTGATCAATAACTATGGTCATGTGGTCACAGTGAAAACCAGCAGTGATCAGGAACAGGTTAGAATTTAATTTTATTTCCTACACAGATTCAGAAGGTTCATAATCACCAGAAACATTGTAGGCCATCTTCCAATAGTTTTCACCTTTAAAAAAAAGAAAACTAAACAGTCTAGTCAGGCAGTATACTGAAAAATGAGTCAGTAGAAAATGAGTTCCCTGTGCATCTGAATGTTCCAGTTACTTTTCATGAGTAGACAGGCAGTCAGACAAGGCAATGCCCAAAAGAACTTTGGAGATTTGTGCCCTGCACAGTTGTCACAACCCACCTGGCACTATGCCCTACCAGGAAGCTGAGGACCAGATGGGTTCCCTGCAGAACAGGGACATTCCACTGCCTGGGTGCTGCCAAGATCTTGATCTGAAACAGCCAGAACAATGATCTTCCTTCTTGATCCTCAATCTTCCACTTCCACACACCCTAAGCAGGCCCAGGAGGAAATACACACTACCCAGTATACTATGTGGGCACCATGTTGGTTAGTTTTCTGGAGTCACCTGAACTTTTTGGTTGTAGAGAATACAGATAAATGTAAGAGATGAGAACACTTTTTCAGAGACTATAGGAGAGAAATTTAATTTTGTATATTTTTCATTCATTCAGCATATATCTTTTGAACTCCCATTGGGTGTTTGGTGCTTTACAAGGCACAAATCATAGTTCCTGCCCTCATGGAGCTTTAAGTCTCTAAGTAGTGAACAGCTTCCATTAAGTGTAGAATTGATGATTTCATTCCTCTAATGTGACTACCATGCTTATATTCTCCATCCGTGTTCTTCCTTGGAAAATGAGCTGAGATTGACAAGTAGACTGAATATTGCTTCAATACTTGTAGCTTTTACTTTTAACTATGTAAAAGTTAATCAGCTATCATATACCTACTCTGTGCCCAGAAGTCTATCAGTGTTATGGGAGATCCTAATGAAGTGCACATTGGTTTATTTGCCTTCTAGTTCCCTGTGATTTTAATGGATAAACCAGATTTCCATGTAGCATGTAATCAAAGAGCAATATAAAACTACAGAGACTTATCTGCTAATTCTGAGTGGCAGTGATTCTAAGTGGTCAGAGGGAGTGAAAAAAAGATTAATTCTTTGTATGACAAATTGGTTAGCCTCAAGCAAGCAGATAAAAGTCAATAAGAGGCACTCCTTTATTTTCCATTAATTACAGAGGAACATATTACTAAATTCTTATCAATACAGTTTGCCTCCTGTCTTCCCTTTAGGGATAAAAATTAGGTTTGTAAGTGTATCTGATGCCCTTGATCTTGGTTTCTATTTGGACTTACTCTTTCAGATCAAAACTTTATAAGTCAACATTCCCCCTTCTAAGATTCTTGAGTCATTAGCTAATGTGTCATGCTTACAGCCTCACTTTGCAAGAGCTGGAAGTTTTAAATTTTATTTTATGGAGCTTTTAATTATTTCTGCTCTCCATCTCCCTGTAAATTAACTTTTGCTGAATAATACAGTTAGCCTCTGCACAAGTTTTACTTCTATAACTTCTGGCAATACTCTGAAGACTTTTTCAATTTTAGTGTTCTTTTTGAAAAGTCTCTATGTACCATAATAAAACACATGTTTCTTCAATATGCAGAGAAAGAACATGCATGAAGAGTCATGCGAACATTTGATGTCATGGAGTATTTAAAGTATCTCTGGTTTCAGCATATTGGTCAGTTGGATTTGAGTTATGTTGGCTGTGTGCTCCACAAGAGGGTCTGATTGATCTGAACTAATTGTTTTTTGCTTCTTTTATTGCTCATATGTGTCTTATGGCATCAAGTTGACCAATAACTTTCATCTCTGTATTACTATGAAAATCTTTCATAAGTGTTATGGGACACACTTTGTCCCCAATCTATGAATGGCCCATGTCGAAAAAGTTCATTTCCCAGGAACTATGTGAAACACTTTTCTGGAGGAGCAGGATTAATCTTTGTGATTTGACTCCCAGACTCTATTCCTCAAAAATATTAACAACTCCTAATACAGTTGAGATCTATATACTTCCCAAAACATAAAGATCAGATTATTGAAATATTTAGAATTGGTCTTCAAGAAAATAAGCACTAGAGTTAAAAAAAAACTTGTTGAAGGGAAATCATTTTAATTAATGAGTACAAATTTAAAGTAAACTTGTATCAAAATTTGAATAAATTTTGCCCGTTTCAGTTGTTGGGTGCTGTAGTTCTTTTCTTATGGTTAATTACAACTGAAATTCCTACCTATATGAAAGAATCATGAAATTATTATTCCAGTAACTTTTATGGGTTATTTATAAATGGAATTGAGAAAGGAAGAAGATCAGTATTTTTTACATTTTCCATGATAGAGATCATATCTGAAGTAAATTAAGTAACATTGGGAACACAGAGGGGAAATATGTGGGAATAAAGACAAGTACTATTTGAGTCCATTTATATGAGGCACTTATAATTAGTCACACATGTGGAGAAAAAAGTGGAAAGGTAGTTTTCAGGAGCTAGAGGATGAAGGAGAACACAGAGTTATCATTAAAAGGGCACAGAGTTTCTGTGTTACACATGAAAAAAATCTGGAAATGGATGATTACACTACATTATAAATTTACTTGAAACCACTGAAAGACACATTTAAAATGAGTAAGTTCTTATATTTTATATTATCTTTTATCACCAAAACAAAAGTGAAAAATTCAAAAATATCAAATATGCTGTGTTGGATCTTGGTCCATCTCTATTAAGATGTTAGAAAGAACTTATCTTTTGCAAAAGAAATATGAAGATAAATGACTTTTTATTTGAGCACTAAGTTACCCAAGTCATCTTGTCTTCTGGAATTGGTTCTGATTATAAGAAGTCTGGGGAAATCTGCAAGAAAAGAGTAAAATGTCTCTTACTCACAGAGTATTTAGATATTAGTAATTGGTAACTCAGTAATTGGTAACTCGGGATTGACCATAATTTTGTACCCTGTATCTTTACCATGGCTTATAGGATCTTGCTAACTCTAAAGTATCTTCATGAACATACACATTCCTAATGGTCTAGGTCTCTAGAATGACAACCAATAATGGGAATACACACACTCCTGGGTTTCTGTATGCAGGGTAACCAAGAATACTCTGTTAACTCAGTTATTAGTTTTCCAAATAACGAGAAGCATTTCTGGTATGATGCATTGATTTGGCAAGATATGTTTTTTTAATTACAAGGTCATGTTCACTAAAAACGGGAAAATGGAGCAATCCATATCTTTCTCTTCACATCTGGCTCCTCCCTCTCTCCTTTGATGTTGCTTGAATCTCAACACTAACCCTCACTTAATAGTGGGAGTTACAAGAATTATTGAGTTCAATAACCAGAAATTGTTCTAAGCATATCATCTGCTTTTAACTCTATGTGCTGTCTACTAAAAATTAAAAGTGTAAAACAAAATATGAAATCATGTAAAGTAACTTCTAAAGTAACACTAAGATAGCAAAATTAGAAAAATAAGATAATGATAACGAGAGAATTTTCCATATAAGGTGGTGGAGTATTTCTAAACATGCATGTTAGCCAACATCAATCAATCACTTAACTTCCCGTTAGTCGTCGATTTGCTCGAGCAGACGCCAGTAATGTCTCCATTTGTCCCTGTCACGTGCTAGTGTAGCCCAATGGCATCTGTTCGCTCCGGGAACATGAAGAGCCTCAAACCGATCGTTCATGATCTTGACAAAGAAGTCTGACCATCTGGTAGGTGGGTGGCCACGCGGTCTTTTGACATCCCATGGAATCCAGTTGGTAACAGCTCTAGTCCAGTGGTCGTCTTTAAATCTCATTACGTGACCAGCCCATCTGATTTTCGACACCTTGGCAAATGAGACAGCGTCCCTGATTCTTGATCATCGACGGATGTCAGAACTCCGGATTCTTTCTCTCATTTGAGTGAAACGTGATATTCCAAGCATAGCTCTTTCTATTCTTCTTTGGGAGACCTGAATAGCATTCTCATCTTGTTTGCGTAGGGCCCAGGTCTCTGAGGCATATGTTAATGCAGGAAGAACAGTGGAATCAAAGAGATGTGCCCGGAGCCGGAGGTTCTTCATCCTCTTAGCTATTTCTTCGACGTTCTTGAAGGCGTTCCAAGCCGCTCTCTTCCTCCTGCGCAGCTCGGGTGCCAGGTCATTTGTCATGTTGACCTCTCGATCTAGGTACACATAGCTGTTGCATTCGGAGATGGTCGTTCCGTTGAGAGCGAATGGGGCGTCAGGAACGAGGCTGTTTCTCATAAACATTGTCTTCGTAAGATTCAGCTGTAGTCCTACCTTTCCACACTCACGGTCAAAGTCGGCCAGCAATTGTGCCGCTTGGCTGATGTTTGGTGTTATTAAAACAATGTCATCAGCAAAGCGGAGGTGGTGTAGTTGCCGACCATCTATCTTCACTCCCATTCCTTCCCATTCCAGTCGTCGCATGATGTTCTCGAGGGTGGCACTGAAGAGTTTTGGTGAAATGGTATCACCCTGCCGCACCCCTCTCTTGACATCAGCGATCACTTCTTTGTAGAATGGTGAGATCCTGGTAGTGAATCCGCAATACAGCTCACGGAGGATCCTGATGTATTGGGCTTGAATGCCCTGATTGGCTAG